GGCACTTCAAAGTTCTTATATTCAGATTTATTGTTAAATCGTTTCTGTGTAATTCTCAAAATGTTTGGGGCATCAGTTGAAAAGCTGATAGCCTTTTGTAGGAACAAACCAGCACTGGCCCCTGGTTTGGGGTCCTGCACTTAGGACGGAAGAATCCAATGCACCGCTACAGACTAGGGACCGAATGGCTCGGCAGCAGTTCTGCGGAAAAGGACCTAGGGGTGACAGTGGACGAGAAGCTGGATATGAGTCAGCAGTGTGCCCTTGTTGCCAAGAAGGCCAATGGCATTTTGGGATGTATAAGTAGGGGCATTGCCAGCAGATCAAGGGACGTGATCGTCCCCCTCTATTCGACATTGGTGAGGCCTCATCTGGAGTACTGTGTCCAGTTTTGGGCCCCACACTTCAAGAAGGATGTGGATAAATTGGAGAGAGTCCAGCGAAGGGCAACAAAAATGATTAGGGGTCTGGAACACATGACTTATGAGGAGAGGCTGAGGGAGCTGGGATTGTTTAGCCTGCAGAAGAGAAGAATGAGGGGGGATTTGATAGCTGCTTTCAACTACCTGAAAGGGGGTTCCAAAGAGGATGGCTCTAGACTGTTCTCAATGGTAGCAGATGACAGAACGAGGAGTAATGGTCTCAAGTTGCAGTGGGGGAGGTTTAGATTGGATATTAGGAAAAACTTTTTCACTAAGAGGGTGGTGAAACACTGGAATGCGTTACCTAGGGAGGTGGTAGAATCTCCTTCCTTAGAGGTTTTTAAGGTCAGGCTTGACAAAGCCCTGGCTGGGATGATTTAACTGGGAATTGGTCCTGCTTCGAGCAGGGGGTTGGACTAGATGACCTTCTGGGGTCCCTTCCAACCCTGATATTCTATGATTCTATAATGGACCGTACAGGATTTGCCAGGGTTAACTCCTGTGTCTGTCTGAACCTCCCAATCCACATCTGAAAACTTAGCAACATCCCCTTGGGTGAGCGTTTTAGGAACTCAGGGACAAGATGCTGGGGTATAGATGTAGGCAGGCCCATCAGAGCTGATGCAGGGAATGTGGTCCCCCTCCCCACCAAGACCCCCGCTGTCTCTGTCCTAAATGCTCAACTGAACTGGCATTTCACAGTGATTTGTGTTTTAAATCAGAGCTAATTCCAGGCAGCCTCTCTGGGTTTAGTGCCCTGGAACTGTCTCATGCAGAGCCAGAGCGGCAACTGGCAGGTGGGTTTCTGCTCCTTAGGATAATAGCTAGTGTGATAGCCTGAGGAAGCTCTCTGTGCTTTTGGGGTTCTCTGCTGCTTCCAAGCTGTCCCTGCTGGCCAGACTCCCTCCCTGTAGCATGGCCTCACTGCTTCTCTGGTGCTTCATCCAGCACTGTGATTGCTTTATTGAGCCACCTCAGTTATTTCTGCTGCTTCTCTGGAGCACAATAAATCCAGCCCTGGGCACTGAGCGCCCAGGCAGCTCAGAGAGTTTCTGGGAAGGCTGCTTTACCAGGCCCAACATCTGATGACTTTGAGCCTGGAACTCACCTAAGACAGTGTTGAGATATTCAGGGTACTTGAGCCACCACTCAAGCTCCAGCAGAAAGCCTGTTTTCTCCCCTGCTCTAGTCACACACATCCTTTGGAAGAGCCCTATGGAGAGAGCGGAGACCGCCTTCTAGGGGATGAGGCATCCAGCGGTGAGGGCCTCATGGCAGTGCTTTTGCCTTTTAGTTTTCCTTCTAGTTTTGTTTAAAAGGTTAGGAATCCAGGGCTCTGGTTTATTGATTTCCCAGTACCTTCATGTGCTGTCCATTTTCTAGAGGATCCTGTAGCTCCCTTAGCTCTTAGTGGAGGGTTTGCCAGCCGTTCTTTGCCCCGGAGCACAGAATTCTTTGCACGTGCCCAGGATTCGAGTCCTGCCATCTCCTCTCCACTTTTTGGCTGCAAAAATCCTTTGTCCTTCTGCGCTAGTTGTTGCAGGCTCCAGATTGTAGCCTGTGTGGTGCTGTTTGCTGAATAGATGCATGATTTGCAGTCACAGACAAACCTTTGCTGGGGTCCATGGCATGCTGCCTCTGGGCCTCCTCACCCCCACCTGGGCCCTCTGCCCCTTACCCCTGCCCCCTCAGTCCTGATCCCAGCTGCTGGCTCTGTGCCTTTGTCCCGTAGCACCCTGCTGTCCCACAATCTGCTGCAATGTCCCCAGCCACTCACTGTTTGTGGACACCGTGATGGTCTCATTCTGGCTGAAGTCTCTGTGACCAAGCTGGGAGTCCTGGGGGCTGCTCCCAACTCTGCCATGGACTTGCTAGATCCCTTTGGACAGGTCCCTTTTAGAGGTACTGAGCACCCAGCTGCCAGTGACTCCCATCTCTGCTGATCAGGCCTTTCTCTGTGCCATAGAGTGAGGGCTGAGTGAGGTGCCTCTCCACTGTGGCTCCATGCACTGGTCTGGTAGGATCCTAGCACTGAAACACCCTTAAATGCTTGAATACTGGGACTAGAAGGGGAAAGAGCATCTGTAGCTAAAGAACCCTATGAAATGCGCCTGAAAAATGTGGGTGTTTCCCATGCTGTGGGGAAGGGTTGCTGGGTGAGGCTTGGGGCTATTTCCAGTATCAGGTGGAAGGGATGGGGTTGTGGGGCTGGGGGCCGTGCCCAGTCCTGTGGGGGAGGGTCAGTGTGTGGGGCTGGGGGCCATGCCCAGTGCTGTGGGGGAGGGTTGCAGTGTGAGGCTGAGGGTGGTGCTGTGGGGCTGGGAGCAGTGCTGTGGGGAAGGATGCTTTGTGGGGTTGGGGGTGGTGCTATGGGGGTTGTGGATAGTGCTGTGGGGGTTAGGGGTGGTGTGTGAGATTGGGGGCAGTGCTGTGGGGGAGGGGTGGTGTGTGAGGTTGGGGGTGGTGCTGTGGGGGAGGGGCAGTGTGTGGGGCGGTGCCGTGAGGAATGGTCAGTGTGTCAGTGGGGGGTGGCGCTGTGGGGGAGGGTTGGTGTGTGGGCCTGGGGGCGGTGCTGTGGGGGAGGGGTGGTGTGTGGGGCTGGGGCAGTGTGTGGGGCAGTGCTGTGAGGAATGGTCAGTGTGTCGGTGGGGGGTGGCGCTGTGGGGGAGGATGGGTGTGTCGGTGGGGGGTGGTGCTGTGGGGGAGGGTTGGTGTGTGGGGCTGGGGGCAGTGCTGTGGGGGAGGGGCAGTGTGTGGGGCGGTGCTGTGAGGAATGGTCAGTGTGTCGGTGGGGGGCGGTGCTGTGGGGGAGGGTTGGTGTGTGGGACTGGGGGCGGTGCTGTGGGGGAGGGGCGGTGTGTGGGGCTGGGGCAGTGTGTGGGGCAGTGCTGTGAGGAATGGTCAGTGTGTTGGTGGGGGGGTGGCGCTGTGGGGGAGGATGGGTGTGTCGGTGGGGGGTGGCGCTGTGGGGGAGGGTTGGTGTGTGGGGCTAAAGCGGTGCTGTGGGGGAGGGGCGGTGTGTGGGGCTGGGGGCAGTGTGTGGGGCGGTGTCGTGAGGAATGGTCAGTGTGTCGGTGGGGGGGTGGCGCTGTGGGGGTTAGGGGCGGTGTGTGGGGCTGGGGGCGGTGCTGTGGGGGCGGGGCAGTGTGTGGGGCGGTGCTGTGAGGAATGGTCAGTGTGTCGGTGGGGGGGTGGCGCTGTGGGGGAGGATGGGTGTGTCGGTGGGGGGGTGGCGCTGTGGGGGAGGGTTGGTGTGTGGGGCTGGGGGCAGTGCTGTGGGGGAGGGGCAGTGTGTGGGGCAGTGCTGTGAGGAATGGTCAGTGTGTCGGTGGGGGGTGGCGCTGTGGGGGTTAGGGGCGGTGTGTGGGGCTGGGGGCGGTGCTGTGGGGGAGGGGCAGTGTGTGGGGCGGTGCTGTGAGGAATGGTCAGTGTGTCGGTGGGGGGTGGCGCTGTGGGGGTTACGGGGCGGTGTGTGGGGCTGGGGGCGGTGCTGTGGGGCTGGGGCAGTGTGTGGGGCGGTGCTGTGAGGAATGGTCAGTGTGTCGGTGAGGGGTGGCGCTGTGGGGGTTAGGGGCGGTGTGTGGGGCTGGGGGCGGTGCTGTGCGGGAAGGGCGGTGCTGTGGGGCAGTGCTGTGAGGAATGGTCAGTGTGTCGGTGGGGGGTGGCGCTGTGGGGGTTAGGGGCGGTGTGTGGGGCTGGGGGCGGTGCTGTGGGGGAGGGGCAGTGTGTGCGGCGGTGCTGTGAGGAATGGTCAGTGTGTTTGTGGGGGGTGGCGCTGTGGGGGTTAGGGGCGGTGTGTGGGGCTGGGGGCGGTGCTGTGGGGCTGGGGCAGTGTGTGGGGCGGTGCTGTGAGGAATGGTCAGTGTGTCGGTGGGGGGTGGCGCTGTGCGGAAGGGTCCGTGTGAGAAGCTGAGGGCAGTGCTGTGCGGGAAGGGCGGTGCTGTGGGGCAGTGCTGTGAGGAATGGTCAGTGTGTCGGTGAGGGGTGGCGCTGTGGGGGTTAGGGGCGGTGTGTGGGGCTGGGGGCGGTGCTGTGCGGGAAGGGCGGTGCTGTGGGGCAGTGCTGTGAGGAATGGTCAGTGTGTCGGTGGGGGGTGGCGCTGTGGGGGTTAGGGGCGGTGTGTGGGGCTGGGGGCGGTGCTGTGGGGCTGGGGCAGTGTGTGGGGCGGTGCTGTGAGGAATGGTCAGTGTGTCGGTGGGGGGTGGCGCTGTGCGGAAGGGTCCGTGTGAGAAGCTGAGGGCAGTGCTGTGCGGGAAGGGCGGTGCTGTGGGGCAGTGCTGTGAGGAATGGTCAGTGTGTCGGTGGGGGGTGGCGCTGTGGGGAAGGGCAGTGCTGTGGGGAAGGGGCGGTGCTGTGGGGCTGGGGGAGAGTGCAGGTGTGGGAGCCAGAGGCAGCACTGTGCAGCAGGGGGTGGTGTTATGGGGCTGGGGGTGGTGTGTGGGAAAGGTTGTCGTGAGGCTGTAGGGGAGGGGCGGTGTGGGGGGCAGAGGCAATGCTGTGGGGGAGGGTCAGTGTCTGGTGCTGGGGGAGGCACTGTGGGGTTTTATCTATTTAATTTCTGTTTCTGTTATTTCTCAGGGATCATTCACCAGATGAAAGGCGACTATGACTCTGCCCTGAAACTCCACAAGACTCACCTCTCCATCGCTCAGGAGCTGAATGACTATGGCGCGCAGGGCAGGGCCTACGGCAACATGGGCAATGCGTACAATGCCCTGGGCATGTATGACCACGCTGTGAAATATCACCGGCAGGAGCTGCAGATTTCTATGGAAGTGAATGATCGGGCCTCGCAGGCATCCACCCATGGGAACTTAGCAGTGGCATATCAGGCCTTAGGCGCCCACGACCGAGCCCTGCAGCACTACCAAAACCACCTCAACATCGCCCGGGAGCTGCGGGACATACAGAGCGAGGCCCGGGCCCTCAGCAACCTGGGCAACTTCCATTGCTCGCGAGGAGAGTACGCACAGGCAGCCCCTTACTATGAGCAATACCTGCGCCTGTCCCCTGAGCTGCAGGACATGGAGGGGGAGGGGAAAGTTTGCCACAACCTTGGCTATGCCCATTACTGCCTTGGGAACTATGAGGAGGCTGTAAAGTACTACGAGCAGGATCTCGCCTTAGCAAAGGATCTACACGACAAGCTGAGCCAAGCCAAGGCCTACTGCAACCTGGGCCTGGCGTTCAAGGCCTTAATGGACTTCAGCAAAGCTGAGGAGTGCCAGAAGTATCTGCTGTCTCTGGCCCAGTCTCTGAACAATTCCCAAGCCAAATTCCGGGCTCTTGGGAATCTGGGAGATATTTTTGTATGTAAAAAAGATGTAAATGGTGCAATAAAATTCTATGAGCAGCAGCTGAGCTTAGCCCACCATGTCAAAGACAGGAGATTGGAGGCCAGTGCCTATGCAGCCTTGGGTTCTGCATACAAGATGATACAGAAATATGACAAGGCCTTGGGGTACCATACACAGCAACTGGAGGTTTACCAGGAACTAGGGGATATGCCGGGTGAATGCAGAGCTCATGGCCACCTTGCTGCAGTGTACATGTCCCTTGGGAAGTATACCATGGCATTCAAGTGTTATGAAGAACAGCTGGAACTTGGACAGAAGCTGAAGGACCCCAGTATAGAGGCCCAAGTCTATGGTAACATGGGCATCACCAAGATGAACATGAATGTCATGGAGGAAGCTATTGGCTACTTTGAGCAGCAACTGGCCATGCTACAGCAGCTGAGTGGAAACGAAGCTGTGCTGGACAGAGGCCGGGCATACGGAAACCTGGGGGATTGTTATGAGGCTCTAGGAGATTATGAAGAAGCCATAAAGTATTATGAACAGTACTTATCTGTAGCTCAGAGTTTAAGTCGCATGCAAGACCAGGCGAAGGCCTATCGGGGCCTGGGAAATGGACACAGGTAACAAATGCCAAAGACTGGAGTATTGCATGGCTTTAGTATTGAGAACTGTCTTGAAAGAGAATGAGTGAAAATACCTGAATGATCATAGAATCATAGATTAATCATAGAATATCAGGGTTGGAAGGGACCTCAGGAGATCATCTAGTCCAACCCCCTGCTTAAAGCAGAACCAATGCCCAATTTTTGCCCCAGATCCCTAAATGGCCCCCTCAAGGATTGAACTCACAAACCCTGGGTTTAGCAGACCAATGCTCAAACCACTGAGCTATCCCACCCCCCCGATGATTATACCATCGCTACTCACGTGATTCAGTGGTGAGCAGTGTCACAGCGAGTATATGGGTGCATATGCTCCCAACAGGGAACCAACCTGAGAACACACAACCAAGACAATATGCTGGATTTCTCTCACACTGTGCAGTCACTGGCTAGCAAGCTGTGTTTGTGCTGGGGGAAGATAGAGGGGTGTGTGTATGTGTTTGTGTGTGTAAACAGAGGTGGATGGGCAGCTAGGGGGGTGGGTATGGGGCAGGGTATGTGTACATCTGTGAGAGATAGGAGTATGGGTACATGGGGGAGGGGGAACTTTACAGATGCATTTGTGTGGGTTGGGGTTACATGTATGGATGTTTGGGTATAGAGCTGTGGGGGATGTGTGTACAGATGTGTGTTGGGTGTACGTGTGTGGCTGTGAAGGGTAGATGGGGGTGCTGTGCAGGTGTCTCTACACGTGTGTCAGAGGGGTATATGGCTGTGGAGGGTACATGGAAGCTGCGCGAGTGTATTTGTACAGATCTGTCTGGGGTGTATGGCTGTGGGGGTGTATGTGTACGGATGTGGGAGGGCTAGTGGCTGTGAAGGGTATGTGGAGGGCTGTGGGGGTATATGTGTACAGATTTGGGGGGTGGCAGTGGAGGATACATGGGAAACTGGCGGTGCATGTGTAGAGATGTGTGTAGGATATATTGCTGTGGAGGTGTATGTGTACAGATGTGGGGTGTACGACTGGAAGTATATGCGTACAGTTTTGTGTGGGGTGTATGGCTGTGGGGATGTATGTGTATAGATGTGGGGGGTGTACGGCTGTGGAAGTATATGTGTACACTTGTGTGTGGGGTGTACGTCTGTTGGAATGTATGTGTACAGATGGAGGGATGAATTGTTGTGGGAGGTGTATATGTGGGGCAGGGTGTACACTGGGTGGTGTGAAACGACAGCTGTCTGGGTGGTGCGGGAGGGTTGTGGGGGTGTGCGTGTACGACTGTAGGGGAGCTGTACAGCTGTATGTGTATGGCTGTGCGGGGCAGTGTCTACACACAGGGTGGTATGGAACGACAGAGCTGTCTGGATGGCGAGGGGGAAGGTTATTCAGGCTGTGCTATTACCCTGAATAATGAAACTTAGTTTTCCTGCCCCGGACCCCCTGGAGTGAGGAGTTTACAGGAGATGCAGAGGAGGCCTGGACAATGTTTTGGGCCTGATTGTGGCCTTCAGGGTCTCTTGTACTATTGACTGCAGGGTTCACTGGCAAGTTCACTGATGGTAGTTCTGAAATTCCCTACATCTGGCAGCGGGGACATGGCAGATTTGAGCTGGCTGCAGAACAGAGGTTCTCTGTAGGACATGACGGTGAAAGATGGTTTTCATGTCACACCTGCCTAGGCAAGATAAATGCTCCTTTTCTCTCCACACAGGGCAATGGGAAGTTTGCAGCAGGCTCTTGTGTGCTTTGAAAAGAGGCTAGTGGTGGCCCATGAGCTCGGGGAGGCGTTCAACAAAGCCCAAGCCTATGGGGAGCTGGGGAGTCTGCACAGCCAATTAGGAAATTACGAGCAAGCCATCTCCTGCCTGGAACGGCAGCTAAACATCGCCCGAGAAATGAAAGACCGGTCTCTGGAGAGCGACGCTGCCTGCGGCCTGGGGGGAGTCTATCAGCAAATGGGCGAGTACGACACGGCACTGCAGTACCACCAGCTGGACCTGCAGATTGCAGAAGAGACCAACAATCCCACATGCCAGGGCAGGGCCTATGGGAACCTGGGATTAACGTATGAGTCTCTGGGCACCTATGAGAGGGCAGTGGTTTATCAGGAGCAACATCTCAGTATTGCAGCTCAAATGAACGACTTGGTGGCCAAAACTGTGTCCTATAGCAGCCTCGGGAGGACACACCATGCCTTGCAGAACTACTCTCAGGCTGTGATGTACTTGCAGGAAGGTGAGTGGATGAATTATCCAGTGGCTTTACGTCTGCAGAGGATGGGGGAGAGGGCATATCCGTGTGAAAGGGAGCGAGGTGTAGGAATGTGAGCATGTGTGTCTAAGACATTCGCTAGCTCTGAGAGTATCCTGCAGACCTGTGCAGTTACCACCCAGGGCACTCTGCCCTTCATTAGTGGCCAGGCTGCCCAGACCTTCATGTAGCAGCACATTGTGACAGACAAGGGAATGGCAAAGCTTTACAAGCTTATACTGGCATTAGAAAAGGTTCAGAAAAGGGCAATTAAAATGATTAGGGGTTTGGAACAGGTCCCATATGAAGAGAGATTAAAGAGGCTAGGGCTTTTCAGCTTGGAAAAGAGGAGACTAAGGGGGGATATGATAGAGGTCTATACAATAACGAGCGGTGTGGAGAAAGTGAATAAGGAAAAGTTATTTACTTGTTCCCATAATATAAGAACTAGGGGCCACCAAATGAAATTAATGGGCAGCAGGTTTAAAACAAATAAAAGGAAGTTCTTCACACAGCGCATAGTCAACCTGTGGAACTCCTTGCCTGAGGAGGTTGTGAAGGCTAGGACTGTAACAGGGTTTAAAAGAGAACTGGATAAATTCATGGAGGTTAAGTCCGTTAATGGCTATTAGCCGGGATGGATAAGAAATGGTGTCCCTAGCCTCTGTTTGTCAGAGGGTGGAGATGGATGGCAGGAGAGAGATCGCTTGATTATTACCTGTTAGGTTCACTCCCTCTGGGGTACCTGGCATTGGCCGCTGTCAGTAGACAGGATACTGGGCTGGATGGACCTTTGGTCTGACCCAGTATGGCCATTCTTATGTTCTTAAAGGTCAGTGAGTGCCTTGCAGGGGGAGGATTAATGACTAAACTTCACTCCAAGCAGCCTAAGTCTCTTTGTAAAGCCAGTCTGCCCTGAGTCAAGAGAGAGAGGGAAATCTCCTCAGTGGGTGACATAGCAGGCCAGGGAATGACTTGGGTCCACAAAGCCTGTTTGTACTGAGGACAAACAGCCCTGCAGCCCACTTGGGCTGAGCTTGCCTCAGCTGGGAGCTACCTGTTTATCCCCTTCAGATTAAAGTGGGGGTGGGGCTCAGAGCTGGAAAAGTTAACAGGCCCCTCAACCGTGCACCATGACAGTGTTGTGGGGGATGATCTGAGCGTCTGGGAGCAGGGGACAGCTGGAGGGCCCCCATTGATCCAGCCTTGCACGCCTTACCCTTGATGCTTGCTGCACCATCTCCCAGGATAAAAGCATTGTCTGTTCAGCATGGCGGCAGCAGTGTGAGGAAGAAGACAAGCTGTGTGGGTTGAATGGTGTAAGGGGAGCTGGGCTGCAGACTGATAGATTAATTACCCGAGTTAGCCTGGATTTCCTGGAAACTGACTTGAGCAGGATTTCAGTATAGTAGAGGGAATTTCAGTTAAATTGGTGGGGGGGAAATCAGTGCGGCCCCCTTTCCTGATGGGAGGTGACCTTCCTGCTGCTCTGGCTGCTGAGAATCCCTGCAGGCCACTCTTCTGCAGCTGAGCCCAACAGCCCTTACCCCGCCTGGGCCTTTCCCTTACATTCTCTGTGATGCTTGAGACTAACCTGCTGGATGTATCTGACAACACTGCGGCCCATAGAGGTGTGACGTGTTGGGGCATTGTAGGAAATGCCTGTGGATGTTGTTGGAAATGAAATGAATGTTCCTGTGGTAGGTCAGATCAGAATCCCTGCCCTGCCTCTAGCTGCAACAGAACCCTCATGTCTGCCAGGAAGGTGCTGGGAGACCTGGGGCAAGGGTGGGTGCTGAGGCATGTCCTGGTTAGCTGGATGTATTAGCAGCTGAGAGAGGGGGCCTCTCAGCTGAGGAGGGAGAGGAAGAAGGACTCCAGCAGCACTTGGCAGCTCAGTGCAGTTTTGTTCGTCTGCAGTGTTTGAAGGGTTAAAAGCCAAACCGCTATGGTGAGAGGCTGCCTGTTTGGGTGGGAAGAGGCTGGAGTGGCACAGAGGAAGGGCCTGGATCCTAGCTCTGGTGCCTTCTCGCTGTCCTCTCCATGCACTCCAGCTAGCCTGCTCCCTGCCGCTTGTGCTGGCGCACCCCTTGTGTTACTGTCACGCACCCTCCCGCTGACCCACTGACTTGGACAGCACAGGGAGCATGTACAGCACTTCTCTTCAAGGTGCTGTCAGCCGCAGCAAATCAGTTACACCTGCACACGGATGAGTGCCCTATTAGCACTGCCGGGACCCTACTCCTGTCTGCAGCCTGGACACACCACTCTCTTCATCCCAACCCTACCCTCATCCAGCAACAGGGAATCTTTTCTCTTGTCTTCACTTACTCCACTTCTCTTTCAGGACTGAGACTTGCAGAACAGCTGGGGCGTAGAGAAGATGAAGCCAAAATCCGCCATGGCCTGGGCCTCTCCCTCTGGGCTAGTGGGAACCTGGAGGAGGCCCAGCACCAGGTAGGCAGCAGCTCCACCGATAGGAGGCTATCTCGTCCCCTGTAATGCATCTCTCATCCCCTGTAATGCATTCCCTATGTGGTCCTTTCTTACGCATGGTGCCCGTTCAGAGATGACTTGTCACTGCCCACCTGGGTGCAGTCTCCTGGCCTTCTCTCCCTGGACACAGCTATGTCTCTTCCCCTACAGAACGGCCAGCCCCTCTGCCTTGGACACTGCAGCAATGGGTGTGATGAGCTGCTTGCAGACCAGGACTGGATGGGGCAGACCTGACCCCAGCTGAGAGCATGTTGGTCCCAGCTTCTTCCCCTCTCCTCCCTAGTCCCCCTCACTGAAGTGTCAGGGCTGCATGCTGGGCCAGCTACGGTTCTGAGTGTCACCATGGGCTGTTCTCCCCTCCCAGCTCTATAGGGCGTCGGCACTGTTTGAAACCATCCGCCACGAGGTGCAGCTGAGCACAGACTACAAGCTATCGCTCTTTGACCTGCAGACATCATCCTACCAGGCCCTGCAGCGAGTGCTCGTCAGCCTTGGTAAGAGATACCTGTGGTACCCATGGCTGTTGGGAGCTAGGCGTCTGAGTTCTTCCCTAGCTCCAGGGTTTGACCCAAGTTCCAGGTGTGAAGTTCCTCTCAAGTGTTTCTAGTCTAGTAGTTAGAACAGGAGATTGGGATCAGGGCTCCTGTGCCTTTTTGTGCTTCTGCTGCTGGCAAGCTGAGCCAGTCCCATTGTGCTCCATGCCTCAGTTTCCCCATGTGTAAGGCTACGTTTATGTCATGGAATTTGTGACTTCCAGAGACCTCCCTGACATTTTCTGCTTCAGCCCCTGGGGCTGGCAGCTAGTGGGGCACCGGCAGGGTTACAGCGACAGCCTCCTCAGGATCCACCTGCAGGATTCCAGTGATGGGCAACAGCCTGCGGGAGGGTGGGGTGGGGAGAGAACCCCACAGCTCCCAGCCACCACCGTGGCAGGAGAAACCATGGGAGCTACAGCAGTAAAAGTCACAGACAGGTCAAGGCTTCTGTGAATTTTTGTTTATTGCCCATTACCTGTCCGTGACTTTTAGTAGAAATAATGATGACAAAATCTTAGCCTTACCCATATGTAATGTGAGGATAATTCCTCACGGGAGCCTTGTGGGGCTGCACTTAACATTTGCACAAAGCACTGAGATCCTGGGATGAGGCATAGTTCAGCATGTCCTTTCCCTGATATTTCATTGCTTTCCCCTCTCAGCAGCGCTTCCTTCAGCCCCTTGCTTGTGTACGCTTCACTCCTGTGCCCCAGGGGGCTGTGCTGGGTCACATCACAGAGCCCACAGCAGCACTCATTTCCCTCCCATTTGTGTGTAGACCCTTCCCTTACAGGCTTGGGTAGGAGATTCCCCTTCACAAATCAGCATCTTCTGCTCCCAGTGCCAGGTGCACTTCTTCAACCTGCCTTTGCTAATGCAAACAGAGCAGCCTGGCTAAAACCCTGCCAAAGCAAACCACTTCCCAGCACATACAGTCCTCTGGAGGCCTGGGGAGAGAGTGAACCACACACAATGGATATGAGTCGCCTTGCTTAATGCACGGCTGGAAGGTAGGCGATGGGACCCATGGGGATGAGGGTGGGATTAAAACCTTAGATAGAAGAGAAGAGTGTGACAAACATACGAATTGTCTGTAATGTTTTTAAGAACTATCTGTAGGACTCTGTACTTACTGCCTTGGCGTTACTACCCAGTGGGTGCAGAAGAGTTAAGATTCTGCTCCTGGCGCAGAGCAGGAGACATGATGTATTTGGGGTGTTAGGAATGGGTCGTTATGGATTGGGTTCAGCCAGTCTTTATTGGTGGCAGATCCCGGAAAGACAATGGGCATGCTGAGCAATTGACACTTTACAACAGGAAGTTCTGGCAAGGTGAACACACGAACTCAGCCAGCCTGGCTTTGCAGCAGGAGGACACTGGACTGAGAGGTGACAGGAGGCAGTGATAAGAACTGGGCTCACAGAAACACAGAAGCTCACCTGGGACTGACAGGCAAAGAGATCAAGAAAGAGAGAGAGAGAGCCTGGATGGTTTCTGCAGCAGCATGGCTCAGCGTAGCCCAGGCATTGGCTAGTCTGAACTCTGTCTTACCTTTGCCTCTCTGGCTCACCAAAAGACTTCTCGAGGCTGGGTTACAGTTGACTAATGAACTCTACTCTGTTCTGAAAAGGCTGCCTGAAGTCATTTCAGATACTTGCTGAGCTTCTTTGATCCCTGAAGAGCATAAATGTCTCTGAACAGCAGTCTGCTTCAGTCAGACTCTCTGGGCAGAGCTCTCAGTGAGAAGCAGGAGCACTGGATCCCATAGGCTCTGTTTCAGAGGTGTGGAGGCCATGTGGCCTACCCTTGTGGAAAAGTGTGACCTCTTGGGGTCTGGCACACTGAAGGGACAGCTTACAAGTCAGAGTGTAGCACAGATCCTGTGGATCTGTGACCGTGGTACTGGATATCTCGGATGTTTGATGTGCCAGGGAGTCCCAAAGGGCACTGGGTTATAGCCGGGAAGAAGCAACATGCAGGCTGCATATGATGGCAGAGCAGCCAGCCAAGATGCTTGGGGTTGCTGGGGAAACAAAGACAGTCTGCTGCCCTGTGACCTGGAGTGCTGCTGCCCAGCCACCCAGTGGTGCTGGTCTGGATTGGAATAACTGCCATGCTCTCTACCCCTTTACAGTGCTCTGCAGCGTCTGGTGCAGGCCTGAGACACGTCTTTGTTCCCTAATTGTGGCTCTTCTTCACAGGCCACCACGACGAAGCCCTGGCTGTGGCAGAAAGGGGGCGAACAAGAGCGTTCGCTGACTTGCTGGTGGAACGTCAGACTGGACAGCAGGACTCTGACCCCTATTCGCCCGTCACCATTGACCAGGTTCTGGAGACTGTGAATGGCCAGAGGGGACTTGTTCTCTACTACTCGCTGGCTGCCGGCTACCTGTACAGCTGGTTGCTTGCTCCTGGGGCAGGTAAGGTTCCTTTCTGTAGATTAGAGCCAACTAGCAAAGCCTGGAAATCAGAGTTGGGACATACTCATTAGGCTCTCGTCCTGTCCACCACCCAGAGGCTGGGCCTGTCACCCAAAGCCTCACTCTGTAATGTGAAATAGGCCCTGGATTATGTGTGCTTTGCTGCCACATCCTTATGCTCCCTGCTCTCTGATAGTGCTATGACAACTTTTCAGGGTGCTTATTCTGCAGTTGCTTATCACAGCTAATTTTACTGCAACTGATACTCGACTCTTGTTGGGAATTCAGGTAAATCTTGGTAGCTTTGGTGGCAATTCAGCTGCAGAGGTGCTGAGGGAATAGAGCCCTTGTCACCTGTACATGGGAATTGGCAGCTGCTGGGGGAACTTTCTTTCATCCTTTATCTAATATTATCATGAAAGCAGGAAAATAGGATCATCCGTGTAAGCTGGATCAAGAGGCAGGCTGGCTCAGGGGATTGGTAATTGGAGATGAAGCCTTTCACCCTGAGGGCACTGGTTTGAATGCACACTCACAGGCCAAATTCATCTCTGCTCTAATTCTGTTGTAGTCACTGGTGTTACTCTAGGGAGGAATTTGGCCTGAAGACAATAGTAACTAAAAGGTGTCTCCATCTGACAGCTGTTTTGGGGGCCCTGGTAAAATGAGATGGGGATTTGTCCAGTTCCTAGTGTATAAATATCCTCTCTGCAGAAACCAGTGCTGCATAGCACCTTGCGGGCAGGCCAGGAGAGAGCCAGCCATGGAGACTGGACTCCCCTCTTAACTCTAGAGAGGGAGGCCTCCCCTGGTCAGGATTAAGGTATGCTGGTGGGTCGGTGGGGTGGGGTGGGGTGGGGAAAGGTTCACACTGCTGTGCTGGTGCCATACCTGAGGGAAGGTCTTGACATCACCCCAGAGCTGTCTGTCTATCACCTTGCCACCTTGGTTCCAGGGACCACTAGGGACATAAATTGGCAGCTCCTTCATGGAGCCATGAGCACAGATGTGTTGTTGGTGCAGTTTACGCAGTCCATGACACCTGTCCCTTCTGTGGCAAGAGAGAGACCCTAGAGCCTGTTTATTTCAGTGCACCAGGTTGCAGTAGGATTGCCAACCCTCCTGGGTTGGCTGGGAGTCTACTGGAATTGCCATTGATCTCCCGGTGACTATTGAAAGCAATCCAGGAGATTTTAATAGGTACAGTACAAATAATGACATTACATCATGTTGGGAAAAAAATCTCCTGGAATAGCTTCAGTCAGAGTTGGTAACCCGTTTCCTGCCTCCTCCGGAAACTCCTGTTGAAGCTCTGGCTGCACCTTTCCCTGCACATTTTTATTGATGTACTGTCCATGTGTGGCCACACAAAATCTCGGAGCCTCCCTGTCATCCTCCTTCTGGCGCTGGGCAAGAAGGCTATTTATCAGGCTAGGAAGAGGGAGTTGGACTGGGATGTTCTCTGGGACTGTGGAGAGGAGCCAATTTTTGTTCACTTTTTTTATCCGCGCATCCCGGCAGATTCCTCTGGATGGCTTCCGCTCTGGAGAGGTGGGCACTACCTGGGCTTCTCAGCTCAGTGTTCCTTTCTTGTACCCTTGTTTTGACACCTTCTTCCAGCATTTTTCATTCTTTGTCCCCTGTAACTTCTCAATACCCATGTTTCTTTTGGTCCATACCCCTCTGTTGAGCGGGAGGACTTCATGGTTTTGAGGACTGATCTCCCTTTGGGGGATCTGGCTGGCTCATGGGGCCCAAATAGGCCAGCACATGCGGCATGCACAGAAATAGAGGAAAGGAAAGTTCAGTCAGAGAAGCATGTTCAGGGCTTTGACATTCACCCATAAATGGGAAAGTTTTCAGGTGCTTAATTTACCCATTTTTCAATAGCCAATCTGTCTGGATTTCCCACAGGGCAATGCAAAGAATGATAATGAGATTCCAAGCACACTGCCTCCAATAGAGAATCTTTTATGTAACAAAAAGTCCTCACTTTAATTACATTTCTCTGTTTTATGCTTCCAAATGCATTTGACATGTATTAATTGCAGTGGATTACAGATAACAGGAGGGCAGCCCAACTTCCTGATATGCCATCTAACTGTCTGATCCTCTGAATCTTCTTCACATGAATGTGGAAACATTTATCACAGAGGAGCAGAGCAGGAAGGATTAATTGGAAGAGGATCCCTTTTTGCAGGCAGCTGTTATTCATTATCTAATAAAGTGATGACTGTAAATCTTCAGGAGTTCTTCTTGTATATAATTTAATAATTGTAACCCTTCACCACGACAAAGCTAAAGAGATAAAGAGCACTAATTCAGATTGCATTGAACATGGTTCAACAAGGAAAGCAAACACAAATGAACTTCTTCAGCTTGGATGACATATTTTTCGCTAGATGTATCTCTTTGATTACTTACTCTAGGAGTGACTTAAATCCTTTATGGATCTGAGTGAAGAGAGGTTACTGTCCTGTTACACACATGGTCACTAATTGCCCTCTCAAACCATACATTTTGCGTAATAAAATGGTGGTGGTTTGACCACACTGGAGACAGACCTGGGCCTGGTAAGATGGTATCCGTTGGAGGAACAGAGTTTGTCACTGGGATTCATAGAGATTTAGTCATGGCATCTCCATCCCCACCACAAGTTAGGGACTTGTAGAAGAGCAGCCGCAACCAACCTCCTGGGGCACTTGGGTATGTAACTGCCCGGCCCTTAGAGGCTGTTCTGTGTAACTGAGCTTTGCGAGGCGGTGCTGGTTACACTGTCTGCTCGGACTGTCTCCCACTCTCAGACCCTTATTCTGCAGCTAGTTGCTGTTTCACCTTTGGCTGCCTTACTGTGGGCTCTTATGTGGGAGTTCTCAGGCACTGACTCCAGCTCTCTACTTTCTTCTTGCCTTCTCCAATACGTACGCAGAAACTTTGAGGGCATCTCAGGTTCCTCATTCTAGCATAGGTAATATTCCCTTAGAACTCCCCACTCACCCCTTGACCATTTCAATGGATCCATTTGTGGCTGTTGCTACAGAATAGGTTGCTTAAGTCTTTTGATTTGACCGTCTCTTCTTACCAGCTTGGTTTGTTGTTTATGCTGCCACTGCGAACAGGGTGCCCAGGGTAAGCTTTGAAGAGTGGTCACAGGTGCTGTGGCACGGCAGGGTTACTCATATTAGAAAGGGTGTGCTGGTCTGAGTGGAGGAGGGTTTTATCTGCAGTAATAGCTGAATCCTTGACAAAATGTTGCACTCCTGATATGAATGTTTCCTTTCTCTGGTGTGCCCCATTGTGTAATGTTCTTGCTTTAGTATTTTAATATGCACTAATCTGCCTTTTACTTCTTTGCATGTGTTTTTGTGCATACGGGTGAAATGAGAAATCTCCATGTGACACAAGGAGATTCTGCTGTAGTAATAACATTTTTGTTCAGCCTTTCAGCCCTTGTGTGTCCAGTTTATGTGGTCAGATACTATTAATAGACATTTTTCATATGCTGCTATTGAAATGTGAATTTCCCTGGTAGATGCTTGCGAGAAACATCTGTTTTATAATTCATATGAGGCTGCTGTGATAGTAAGTGCCTTCTGAACATCTCATTAAAGCCCTGCTCAGTTTTCTTCCCTTGATCCATCATTTGCAAAGTACAAAACCAGATTTTAAAAGCAAAGTCTTAATATAGCATATTGGACTAACTCCTGGAAAGCCCTCTGGAGACACGGCACGGCATGCTTCGCTCCATTTCTGCTGGAGATGCCAAACCCTCAGGACTTGTAACAGTTGTACTGCTTTCTTTGTCAGTTGCTGGCAGTGCACTCCCTTCACACAGTTGTTAATGCTGGTGATGAATGTGTCCTTGCAGGAATTCTGAAGTTTCATGAATACTATCTGGGTGACAGCATGGCAGAGAATGCCGGGGACATCCATGAAGCAAGCAGCGTGGGCTTCCAAACGGTTACTAATTCAGCACTGGAGCTCTACATCTCAAGTGTACGAGAGGCACTGGGCGTGGACTCCTACTATACCCGGTGAGTTAGGGGTTCATATCCTGATTCTCTTGCTCCCACCTGGAAGTCATGTATCCAAACAGCCTGAGAGGAGCTGATGGCTGAGAAGGCTGAGAACTCTGATTTTCTGGGCCAAATTTTAAATAAGCTTCAGCCAAGCTGCTCTATTTTGTATCCACAGCCATCTGTGCTGCAAATAATAGATTATGTGCATGCAGATGGGGTTTGCACCCATAGACTCGATGGTTAGATGTCTCATTATCTGCTATATATGGGCAGATTCTATTCAGAGGCACCCATGTAATTAATTCTCCCTCAGAGATTTGCTCATAAAAAATTGCAGTTGCGACTTGGGCGAGAACATTTTTGAAATATGTCCCTTTATGGCTAGCAAATACCTCACGGGGAATGAACAGTCCCTCTGATCAGCGTAGCTGCTATCTGACAACAGGTAGAGATTTCCTTCAGTTTATCCATTGTACAGGTATACGCCACAAGTATTTTTACACAATTTTTACTCTGTGGCTTGAACATGAATATCTTAAATTCAAGCTGTGTGCTTAGCTGTGATTGGTCTCATAAGTCACATAGTGTTATTTGGTTCCCTGATTGGATGAGCACACAAGCACTTCCTGTACTGATACTTGAACATGCAAATTACACTTTGTCTTCTGCAAACACTTAAGCCTGCAGGAAGGAGCCAGGGACATCCCCATCCTTGCACCTGCTCTGTGAATTGAACAGGTGGGAGGTTCTGCCATAAAGGATATGATGACACTTAGGCCATGTCTGCACTACCACTTATGTCAGCAAAACTTGTGTCACTCAGGGGTACGGGAAAAAACACCCCCCCGAGTGACATACGTTTCGCCAGCATAAGAGGCAGTGTGCACAGCCCTATGTCGGCAGAAGACATGCTATGCCAACATAGCTGCTCCCGTTGCTCCTTGAGGGTGATCTGATTATGTCAGTGGGAGAGCTCTCTCCCTTTGGCACAGTGCAGGTATACAGGAGATCTTACAGTGGTGCAGCTGCATTGGTGCAGCTGTGCCACTGTGAGCTCTCTAGTGTAGACATAGCCTTAATCTTCTAACTAAAATTGAAACCCACTGTACAGTCATAGACTGTATGTTCTGAGCAGGTTGGTTTCATCTCAGGCATTGTTTGTGCCCTCAGAAGCATATGCTAGAAAAAGAATCAGGTTAGTAACCAACTTGCACTTTGCCTGATTTACCCCCGGTGAGGGGAAGAGCAAGTGTATTTGCTGGCCTGGGACGTGACCTAGGCCCTGGACACCTGTAGGAATGGCGGCAATGGTTTGTTGTGTTTTATTGTGTTTTAAATTTCTTTAAACTGAATCCACATTCTCTTGTAACCATAGCACTGTTTCTGCAGCACTGAGAATTGTGGGTGACTTTCCTGTGTTTGGATCACTAACACTAATGCAGGGCACTGCAGATGCTGCACTATAGGAAACTTTTTGCAGATCCCGTCTTGCTTCTGATTTCAGTGATTAGTCCTGTGTGTTAAAGATCCATTTGTTTGTCTGACTCTCATATTAGCAGGGAGGGAGTTCCCTGCTGGCTGGGGGCAGGGCATGCAGGATCTGCTTGCAGTGGGAATGATCTCATTTGTAATCTTGAAATCTTATGTTGCTGCCTTCATCACAGAAGTATGCGCTAGGTCATGGAAGGCTCTGCTCTGACTGAACTTCCTCGGGCCTGGACCCCTGGGGGCAGGGGGCAGTTATGGCTGAGTGGGACATCACTCAGAAAACTGATTTTTCATGCAAATAGTTCTGGCAAAGAAACAGAAATTTCATTTTTGTGGAATTGAGCCAAAAAGTAAATTTTGCTCAGGATTTTGTGGACAGTGCAGAAAAAGTTGCAAACACCTCTCCCCCCCCCTCCGCAATTAATCTCTATTAATAGCTGTACTGGTGCCTGCCACAGGAACCAGCCAGATCTGTGTACCTGGTGCTGCAGTAACGTGAGTCAGACCTTCCTGTGCAGAAGGTAGCAATAAAACCAAGAGGTGCTGCAGAGACCTCTCCCCAGCAATGCCTGCGCTCGCTCTGTCCCGCGTTCACACCTCAGTCTGATTTAGTTGGATTTTCCACCATTTGATTGTGTTAAGATTCAGGGTGATTTTTGCAATTCTGTCTGAGATGTTTTAACTGTGTGGAGTGTGATCAAATTTCCAGTCAGCTTCGTCTCTGATTTCTCTGACATCCCTGCCCTGTGATAGGATGGGACATCCTGGGGACACACGGTGGACAGCTATTAGCAAGCCATGCTGAGTTACTGAACAGATGCAGTCAGCATCTTAGAAAGGAATCCCTGGGGAGGCTGTGAATTCTGTTACCAAGTGTGGGCAGGGAGCTTGTTCTTCCCTCTGTGTCAGAATCTATAAGGAAGATGGAAGACCTGGGTAATTCTCAGCTTGGGCCCTTAAGATTTCTGAAACTACTTACCCTGGTGTGATCTCAAACTAAACTGAAGGGTGAGTGTCCGAGAGAGATGAGGGTACGTTGGAAAGGTTTGCAAGGCAGAGAGTTTCAGACTCGGACACTGTAGTATACTAGCTTAGCCTCACCTTTTTTCTTCGGATGACTGGGGAGAAAACGCAACCTAAAAAGCTGTTAGAGAAAATGCCTAATTTTTGAGCTAGTGGGGAAAGGTGCCTTTGTCCAGGAATTCTGGCAACATGTCACAGAACCAAAGAAATATAGAGCTGGAAGGGACCTTGAGGTCATTGCCGTTCCCCCACACTGAGACAAGATTAAGTCATTGCTGTGTTTCTGGGCGTGGGAGCGCCACATAGTGGTGGGGGAATGAATGAACTCTGCTGTGCAGATTGGCCTCTTGCTCTTGATTACCGGAATTTGGATTCGGTCCAGACTTGACAAATTAGTTCAGAGTTACAGCCAAGCTGCTTAGTGCAAGCAGTGGATTACAAGGAAGGGATCAGCATTGCTCATTTTGTGTGTGACCTCCAAGGCTGCTTGAACCACATTGCTGCTGTCATGCTTTCCAAAGGCATGAAACAAAACCCCCAGCTCAGACACAAGAGGGGAGTTCTGTGCCCAAAGCCGATTGAGATGGCAATCTAACACATGGAGGGTGCAACGTCACAGAGTCAGAGGAGGTTTCTCCAAGCAGTGCAGGAGACACACAAAACTCAGATTAAAAACTGTTCTTTTTAGCCGTAGGTGGGGCCTGAGCCCTGCTTTCCTCCTCTGGATGAACATCCTTTTGGACCCAGTGGCCTCGGAGGGTGCAGGGGGTTGCAGCTGACAATTCCTTTGTGGTGGAGGAATGAGTTAAGGCCATTGGACATGCTTGTCAGGTTTGCAGCTGCCCATATTTTGGAGGTGTAATCCCCATCGGATCAGCCTTTCCATGGATTTCATACTTCCCATTTTCTTACTGGGACTGTCCCCTTCAGTCCGCATACAGGTGTGCCAGGCTCCTCAGCAAGTGAGTTCTCTCCTCCATAGTCAGAAGGAGACAGTGAGACACTGCTGAGGTGGTTAGAAGCAGTTTGTTATCATCAGGCATATCCAGGGGATAGGTCAGTGGTTTTGCTTCTGGTTTTCCTCGTTTAGGCCACTATTCCAAACACAAGCTGAAGCAGAGGGCACCAGACGTGGCTGGAAAGAGGAAAGTAATCTAATGATTTCGCTTCTTCTTTTTAAACTTTGCCAGGGAGCCTTACGCAGCTGCTGAGATTGGAAGCTGCTAGCAGATGGAGCACTCACAGGGCAGATGGCAGGAGCATAAACTCCATCCGCCAGAAGTAAATGTATTTAGTTTGGTCATCTCTCTGTGGCATGGATTCTAAAGTCCTCCTGGCCTCTCTGCTTCTGAGTATTGAGATGTGACCTATCCACTAAGACCCAAAGCGCTACTTATGCAGGTAGTAATGGGAGGAGTAAGTTTCACCTATGTGGATGGCAGCCAGCTCCACACATCAGATGTGGCAATGGGGCAAAGGGGATGATATGGGGGATGAATGTCATTCACTTATCTGCTAGACTAGCCACACTGCCAATCTCACTGGGTTTGCGTCTTTTACAAAGGCCTTAGGTATCCACAGGGCTCCAGGTGTCCAGTTTTGTGTTCAGGTATAGAAGCGAGGACTCAGGGACTACAAGCCAACTCTATGGGCATAATAACACTTAACAGCAGCCACTTCTATAATTTAGCATAATGAAGGTGATGGGTTTGAAGTGACAAAATCTCAGGTTTCCTGGGGCTGTCACAGACAATGAAGGCCTTTTATTAGTGTTTGATGAGCTCAGACAAATAATACAATGTATGATTCTTAATTGGCCATGAGAGGTGGAATTGGCTTTAAAAAGTCAGTCGCTTCCAATAAAATGTGTTGGCTACACAAAGACAATCTCATTGCAACATTCCTTAATTGCCTTTTCCTTTATCCCTTTGCTGGTTTTCCAACTGTATGGTAATCAGACACATGCAGGGAGGGAGTTCCCTGCAAAATAATGTCTCTCCTGATGCAAACTCCCTGCAGCGAGGAATGCAGTGGCTGTGACTGGCACCCTGCACTACACCCAGAGGCACTCCCACTCACAGTGTCTGCAGCGTTGTGTGGCATTCACAGCTAGGGACAGCGCAGGCCAGACTGACTACTGTCTCCTGGCAGCCGGGCCTATGCACTGAAAAGGATGGGACCCTCTGCAGGTGGGGCCCGGGGTGGGGATCTACCAAGGAGGAAAAAATGAACCTGCTGCAGGGCAGGACGCAACTTCTCCTCCAGCATATCGCTGAGCACACCAGCGTGAAGGTTTGCCATATAAATTAGTGCACTTTTAACCTCCTGCCCTGATACTGCCTGGTGGTACTCTCCAGAGAGCCCAAATCCAATCTGTTTTCTTAGCCAACTTGCTAGGAAGTTGCTCTCAGCCAGAGGGCTGTGGAGTTCTCCCGCCTGCACAGAACAGGTGTATGGTTCCACTGGGCCTGACTTTGTTGTGCATTCTGCCAGAGAGAAAGAGA